ATGGTGGCATCTCGGGACCTCACAGCACTCCCCTGTTCTGACCTGCTGATCTACTATTTCCCTGATTCTAAACTCCTCACTCCAACCCCCAGCCCTTTAGTCCCTTACTATGGTCCTTGCCCAACATGGCATCTTTCATTACTGAACCTGTTGACCACCTATTTTTTCTCCTTCCATTTGAATTCAACTGTTTGGTGGTGGCATGAGCAGGGACATTGATTAAGTTAGTGAACTGCCATAAGTATTTGTAAACCCAGTGTATGCAAAAGCCATTAAGAAAATGAAAACTCGCCTGGCCCTGGATTCCTTCTATGTAGCACTGCTGATAAGAAAGACGGGTGAAGCATGTGTGGTCGAGAGCACTTGGTTTATTTTCACCAGTGGCAACAACAGAGGGAGGAACAAAATGCAGGTGTGTGTCCTACAGTTCTCAAACTGGTAGACCTAAAACATTTTGTGGATAAGTTGAGCCCTTCCTCATACTGTTTTAAAGCTGCTCCCCACTCCCTTGAGGCAGTTCATGGGTCCTACTTGCCGGACTTCCACCTGTGGTCTGGTTTACCTCTCTTGGGGTTGCAAGAATATCTTACCTAAATAGTCACTTTCTCTGCATCCGAAGGATCTTGTTGATTGAAACATCTTATTGTATGAGTCAGGTTTATCTAATTCCACTGATTTATTTCCACTAATAAAACACAACCTAATAAAATTCTCAAATATGCATGCACACATAATTATATCCCTTGAAAAATACAAAACCTGTTATAAGGTACATTTCACATGCATGTTACTTAATATTTTCCCCTACAACATAGTAAGTTGCCCTCATTTTTCCTCGCGTTAGTAAATTGGCATTTGGATTTCAACTTAACCAGTTGTGGACTTTGTGTGCATCTTTAGCCAGAGTGTCACTTCTGTTTTATTTTGGACCCTAACCTCTCCTTACACCTATAGAAACAGATATTCTTCATGTCCCTGCCAATAATTGGAATGCAGTATTTGCATTTCCTATTCTGAGGATCCTCAGTACTACTTGTTTTCATCTGACCCAGAAAAAGAAAAAGTTAAGAAAAAGAAATACTAAAAGGTATTTTTTTCATTCAGCTAGTATATATGAGGCATTTAGTATTAGTAGTTACCACTCTGGCTGCTTAGGTATATAACAGAAAGACATGCCTTTAAGCGGTTTTCCACCCTGGGTGGACCAGGTGTTCCTTGCCCTCATTCCCATAAATCCACAACCTTCCAACTTGGGCATTAGGCCCATTATGAACATGTTATAGCGCTGCAAAGATTTGGTTTATGGCCAGTCTTGGGGCCAGTTTATGGCCAGATTTTGGGAGGCTTGCTCCCAACACCTTTTTACCTTTTCCTATGAATAAGACTCCTGGTTAGTTTTTTCTTTCCATTGAAATACATTTCATGTCAAGTTGGGTGAGTTAAAAAACAAAAAACAAAAAAACCTCACAAGCTTTCAGTGAGTTTGTCATTGCCTCCCAAGTAGCTGGGACCACAGGCACACGCCACCATGCCTGGCTAATTTTTTATTTTTATTTTTATTTTTGAGACGGAGTCTCGCTGTGTCTCCCAGGCTGGAGTGCAGTGGCGTGATCTCGGCTCACTGCAAGCTCCGCCTCCCGGGTTCACGCCATTCTCCTGCCTCAGCCTCCCAAGTAGCTGGGACTACAGGCGCCCGCCACCACGCTAGTTTTTTGTATTTTTTAGTAGAGACGGGGTTTCACCATGTTAGCCAGGATAGTAAAGACAGGGTCTCCCTGTTGCCCAGCCTGGTCTTGAGCTCTTGAACTCAAGCAATCCTCTCACCTCAGCCTCACAAAGTGCCGGGTTTACAGGTGTGAGCCACTGTGCCAGACCTTGTGATGAGTGTTTGAAGCTATAAAACATCTGCATGGATAAGTACTAACATAAAGAGATACCTTAATGAATTACCAATGAATTGTAGTAGAGATAAACCTATGAATGGGTTTAATCCATAAGCTTGCCTGCTTTCTTATCAAGCCCCACATGTCTATCACTTAGGAGAAGCCAGGGACAGGGATTCAGTCAACTGAAGGAGTAAAATTAAGTAAAATGAGGAAGCAAGCAACAGAAGGACGTGGAATAATCAAATAGGAGCTGAAAAATTAGTGTGAAATTAATTCATATATCCAAAGAACAAGGCATACATACACACTTATTACATTTGAGCTCTTCAAACATTCCAACATCAGGCATCTAACATCAAGAAATATGGGACGCGCATGGACAGGGCGGGCGGGTGGCTCACGCCTGTATCCCCAGCACTTTGGGGAGCGAGGCGGGCGGCAACAAGGTCAAGGAGATTCGAGGACCATGGTGGAAACCCCGTCTCTTACTAAAATCAAAAAATGAGCTGGGCGCAGTGGCGGAGCGCCCTGTAGTCCAGCATCTACATCGGGAGGGCTGGAGGCAGGAGAATGGCATGGAACCCAGGAGGCGGAGCTTGGCAGTGAGCCAGGATCACGGCCACTGCACTCCAAGCTTGGAGTGACAGAGCGAGACTCCGGTTCAAAAAAAAAAAAAATGGTATGGACAGGGAGCGCGGGGGTGGGTTCATGCTGTAATCCCAGCACTTTTGGGAGGCAGGTGGGGGTGGTCACTTGGAGGTCGGAGGTTCGAGACCAACCTGGGCAGCATTGGTGAAAACCGTCTCTTTACTAAAATACAAAATTAGCCAGTGTGGTGGGTGCATACCTGTAAATCCCAAGTACTCCAGGAGGCCGAGGCAAGAGGAACCTTGAGGGCTGGCGAGCTGGGAGGTTTGCAGTGAGGCCGAGCATTGCCACTACTGCACTCCAGCCTGGGCTGACAGTCGGGAAAATACAAAAACAAAATAGGTAAGATACAGTTTAATAGAAATGGGATTTATACCATGGACAAATTATCGAATGTACTACGTAATTTTTGAAAAAGTAACAATATGGCCAGGCGTGGTGAGCTCACGCCTGTAATCCACACTTTGGAGGCAATGTGTGGTGGATCCACATCAGGGAAGCGGGGGGGGGGCGGGGGTTCGGAGATTCAGTCGTGGCTCACACGGTGAAACTCCGTCATTAATAAAAATAGGAAAAATTAGCCCAGGTGTGGTTGGCAGCGTGCTGTAGTCCCGAGCTCTCAGGGAGGCCTGAGCAGGAGAATGGTGTGAACCCGGGAGGCGGAACTTGCAGTGAGCCGAGATCGCGCCACTGCACTCCAGTCTGGGTGACGAAGCCAGACTCCGTCTCAAAAAAAAAAAAAAAAAAATTACCAAAGACCACAAAGTGATTTTGTTTTTGTATGGTTTTATCTAGAAATATTTATCATATAGAAATGAAAACTGAGAAATTTCTTCAAATTTTTATTAACCATTTACAAGTAACAAAATCCCATTATGTATAAACACATAAATAACATTTTTGACAGTTATTTTTATTTTTTTCACATATTAAAACCCACTAAAAATAACCATTTTTCTAACTAACAACAAAAATCATTAGTGACAAGAGTACTGCTGCTTTACATTTCTCCAAATTTCTTCAATGTCTGATGACAGACGAAAGCTGGATTCTCATATCTGCTTTTGCATTCAGCCTATTATAATATCACACCAGATAGCCTCTCAAAAACTCCTCTGCACACTCATGAAAAAATGAGTGAAAAAGATAAATGATGGCCGGGCGTGGTGGCTCACACCTGTAAGCATTTTGGGAGGCTGAGATGGGCAGATCACTTGAGCTCCAGAGTTTCAGACCAGCCTGGCCAACATGGTGAAGCATCGTCTCCACTAAAAATACAAAAATTAGCCAGGTGTGGTAGTGGATGCCTGTAATCCCAGCTACTCAGGAAGCTGAGGTAGGAGAATTGCTTGAACCCAGGAGGCGGAGGCTGCAATGAGCTGAGATCGTGCCACTGCAACAGAGCAAGACTCCTTCTCAAATAAAAAAAAAAAGGAAAAACTATAAATGATGAAATGGTAAGTGTTATAAAAACAGCTTTGACCTAGAATACCCTTGAAAGGCTCTTGAGGCCCCCCCCCGACCACACTTTAAGAACCACTGCTCTAGACGAATCTCTTCATTTTACATATAAGGACCCTGGACCTCAGAGAGAGTAAGTGAGAAACTTAACATCACACAGCCTGTTAATAGGAGGATACAGACATTAGATGGTTTGTCTCACTTCTCTTGGTTTAGGTTCTCAACTGGAAACCTGGGAAATACACCCTAATGACCTGTCCTATTCCCTGTAAGTTGCAAAGATTGCCACAATATACTTATTACCCTCTCCCCAACATGTCTTTAATAAAAGAGGTAATCAACAAATTTGGTAAATTTTGCAACAGGCATACTGTGTTTGAACCTAAACTACAATTTTTGAATTCAGGTCTCTATTTGAACAGAAACACTAAGGCAAATTCGACTGCATCCTACTCCATACAAGCTAGTAATGACAAACTGTACAGTAAATATCATAGGTAAATATAGAAAGCAGATTACCCATAGTATCAGTATATATCATATATTCTGTGTCTGGAATACAATTCAATGACATATTTCAGAAAAATTTTCTGAAGTACTGGCTGAAAGGGTGGTGGATACATTAAGAGATTGCAAATAAATTGGCGATCACAAGATCTTTTTTAGATAAAATGGAGTTGTTCTGCAATGTAGACATTTTTCATTCCCTAACCAGACCTTATTCCTGTGTTTTTATTTTTTTTATTTTTTTATTTATTTTTTTTTTTTGGAGACGGAGTCTCGCGCTGTGTCACCCAGGCTGGAGTGTAGTGGCCCGATCTCGGCTCACTGCAAGCTCCGCCTCCCAGGTTCACGCCATTCTCCTGCCTTAGCCTCCGGAGTAGCTGGGACTACAGGCGCCCACCACCACGCCCGGCTAGTTTTTTGTATTTTTAGTAGAGACGGGGTTTCACCATGTTAGCCAGGATGGTCTCGATCTCCTGACCTCGTGATCCACCCGCCTCGGCCTCCCAAAGTGCTGGGATTACAGGCTTGAGCCACCGCGCCCGGCCATTCCTGTGTTTTTAAAGAAAATCAAGAAATCTTCTTGGCTACCTAGAGATGATTTCCTTTGTATCCCACCAGATGGTTCAGATCTTCTTTAAATGGATCATAGCCTTGTTCTTTTAAACAACGCAGTCCCCAGAAAAGCTGGTCCAGAGGAGGAAATTCTTCCCAAGGAACCCACTCCCAACCTAGAAAAGAAAAATGCTAAATCAATTTATTTAGCTAACAGAAAACAAAGGGTATTTATTTGGGTAAGCTAACCTATATTTAGAAAAAATTAATTGAATTTAAAAATAACTTGCTACTAATAAACTTTAATAGTAATGCTTTGTATTTGCTTGGCTATACAAATATAATTTGCATGTAGAATGAAGATCTTATGAAGAGAATGGTGGTCATTTAAAACATTGTGTTATTTGAATGTGAAGCCCAGTTTACAAAGGCTATGCCAGGGTAAACCCAGATTTAGTATTAGTCAATGTTTATTTAAATATTTTTGTAAAAAATGTAAATAACTTTATATACTCTAGGTTATACTACATTAAAATAAACCATTTCCTTCACCTATAAAATAAAGTAGATTACAAAGTTTCTAAGATATCTTCCATCTCTTAAAAAAGTATGAAAGCTGTGCAGAGGAAAATCAAATATTGTACCTTGGTATATTTTAGATACACAAATACAAGATAATTTTTTAAAAATCCATTCAAACAAGAAAGATTTAACAGTGTCTATCAGTTATAAAGTACATGAAATTCTAGAAAAAGATTCTAGAGAATGGTGTTTTCTTTCATGATTTAAATGTAAATAACATAGAAGCACAGATGCTTATGATAGGCAAATACCTACATATTATATTAAGATATACACTCTATGTTCTTTATGATCACCTGTTTTTACTACGTGTAAGCACTAAGTATCTCTCTGCTCATAAAATACAGGTATACAGGCATGTATTTTCACTTTGGGAATGCAGGGCCCAAAAATCCATGAAACTGGAACAAGTACAGGAAGAGATGATGAGAGAGAGAGAGAGAAGAGAGGAGAGAAGAGAGAGAAAGAGAGAGAGAGAGAGATTGAGTACCCAACAATGCGGTGCAAGATGCTCAGTTAACCGGGTCTCCAAAAAGCTGTCCATGAAGAGATTAACCCATCCCCTAGAAAATGAAGTGTCTGGATGAGCCTCCAAACTATAATTAGATGGTTGGAGGAAAGATGCCATTAAATAGTAAACAGAAGCAGGCTACCCAGATCCAAGGCTTGAGTAGCACGGGACAGAGAGACTGTATCTTTATACTAGAAAGAAAGCAAAGACCCACCAAGCCCTTGCACCTTGGCTAGGCTGCAACTGGTTATCAGTATAGCTGGTTATCAGGCTGCAACTGCGAATAAAGTGAACATAATTTCTGCTGTATTTTTACTAACAGATATAGAGGAATAAATGTTTTTGATCAAATCTGATTTGATGCTAGTAATCTTGGACCTTCTAAATCATACTGCTTTATTTGAGATTACTAGCAAGGTTCATGTTAGGGAGTTAACAAAATGAAAGTGGACAAACAAAAAAGTTATATAAATGAATTTTAAAAATCACAATGCGGCCGGGCGCGGTGGCTCAAGCCTGTAATCCCAGCACTTTGGGAGGCCGAGACGGGCGGATCACGAGGTCAGGAGATCGAGACCATCCCGGCTAACACGGTGAAACCCCGTCTCTACTAAAAATACAAAAAACTAGCCGGGCGAGGTGGCGGGCGCCTGTAGTCCCAGCCTCCGGGAGGCTGAGGCCGGAGAATGGCGTGAACCCAGGAGGCGGAGCTTGCAGTGAGCTGAGATCCGGCCACGGCACTCCAACCTGGGCGGCAGAGCGAGACTCCGCCTCAAAAAAAAAAAAAAAAAAAATCACAATGCATGTAAAACTACTACTAGCTACTATATCCTAAGAGGAATAAAACAATACATATAGCTACATGGTTATAAAAACTCATGATTTAGTACTTAAAGTAGAATAGTAATCTTCTAGAAGTTATTCAAAAGTAGGACAGTCTAGTACTAAATGAAAGCTTCACAGAAAGAGGTTGGCTTGTATATTCATTCACTGGGTCCTTCCTTCCTTCAACATATTTTGAATACTGATTATGAGCTAGACACTTCGTTTGGCAGGGAAGAGTCCAAAATGTATAAGCCAAAAGAACTGTTCTTTATAGATTCAAAGTTCAGTAAAAAAAAAAAAAAAAAAAAAAGAGCATAATTTGAAGTTGAGTTGAATTTGAGATGCCTTCTGAACATTAAGGGAAGATATTTAGAAAGCAACTGGAAACACAGGCCCACAGCTCAGAGAAGCGAGATTCAAAATTATAACTTGCATCAGGATTCCCCAACTCAAATCCCTACAGAGGCCAGACAGGGCAAAAAGAGGACTGAAGAATGAGGCAGCACCCAGAGGTGGCTTGGTGAGTAAGAATGGTCAAATAAAGCTGGTGGGACAGTCAGTGACCTTGGTGTTTTCTCTATAGCACCTTCTCTAAAAATGAAGGTTTTCTATATCTGCTTCCTGTGAAGGATACCGAATATAAAAAAAAAAAAAACTTAACTATTTCATCATATTTGTCTCTTCTAGTCTCAGCTTTATTTGCCCATAGAAAAAAGAAAAACAAGAAAATGTTTAGTCCATTTCTTTTCTTCTTTTTGAGACAGGGTCTCACTCTGTTGCTGCTCAGGCTGGAGAGCAGTGGTGATATCAGAGCTCACTGCAGCCTTGATCTCCCAGGCTCACATGATCCTTCCATCTCAGCCTCCCGAGTAGCTGGGATTACAGGCATGTGCCACCACTCTGGCTAACATTTTTAGTTTTGTAGAGACAGGGTCTCACTATGTTGCCCAGTATATGTATATACGTCCCTTTGTCAGAGACCCTTCCCGACCACCCTGATATAGCACTCATATATCCCTTTCTTACACAGCTTTATTGCTCTTTTTAGTCCTTATTGCTACTATCATAAAGTATCTGTAATCTGTCGTTTTCCCCCCCTCACTAAAATGTAAAGTACCAAGAGGGCAGGGACTTTGTTCTACGCAACATTGTTTCTTCAGTGCCTAGAACAGTGTCTGGCACACCACTCAATAAGTATCTGTTGAATGAAAAGATTCTTCCCTATTAGACAAGAAATTAAATGTTTAGTGGGGAGCTTCAATACCTGAGACCACTTGGATAAAGTTTCATATGGCAAGGAATATACTGAAAAAGTCTGATATTTTTCTCTTTAGTTCCTTTTCTCTGTTTTATGAGAAGTTGAGGAGAGACAGTAGACAGAAAATCCTTAGAACAATGCTTAGCACATAGTAAATAAACTTTCAGTGCACTCAATTCAACATAGAGGGTAACAGATAATGAAACCACCTTTGCGAAATTATAACAGTGACAGAAATCTAACAAAGCTGACTCCAACTTGCTTCTAACCTCACAAATTGTCTGCTCATTTCTACACACAGGCCAACCTAACTATGGGAGGAATTTAGTTTACAGTTTAACTTTAAAGCAAGAATGATAATAGTCCCTTCCCAAAACTAACCCTCTCCTTGTTGAGGGACCAAAGCTGCTTTTGTAAAACTAATAAAAGGTCACAAGGTTAGAATTATGGTAAGGGCCAGAACTCTATTAAGATGTAGACATAGTTAAACTCTAACCAGGCATCATTTTATAACTTGCCTTACTGCTCAGGAAGCATGTAGCCAGTGGTCAAAAGATTTATAACTCCCAATTACCCCTACAGATGGCATTGCTATTGTAAAACCTAAGACTAGTGTTTGAGATCTTTTTCAGGCTTTGCATTCTAATGGACCAACTGGTACCACCCAAATCGGTAAGCCACACAAAGAAACCGACTCAAGTGGTCCTGTGAAGCCCCCATCGAGGAACTGACTTAGCACAAGTAGACAGCTGACATCCCTATGGTCTTATCCCCAACCCAACAGATCAGCATTTCTCATTCCCTAGCCCCTTGCTTGCCAAACCATCCTTGAAATACCCTAGCCTCTTAATTCTCTATGGGTAGGATTTAAGAATTATCTCCTGTCCTCCTCAGGCAGCTGCCCTGTGATTATTAAACTCTTTCTCTGCTACAACTCCTACTGTCTCAGGGTGCTGGCTTTTTCTGGGCAGCAGGCAAGGAGAACCCAACTGCTCTGAAACAATAACTGTTTTATCAGTGTAATTATTTACAGTAAATGGATGGTATTAACTCTCCTGCACAGGTGAGAAAACTGAGGAAAACAGATAAAATATTTTCCTTAAAATTACTGCCTGAAACAAAATTAAACACTAACAATAAAACTTACTGTGTTCACGAGGTTCTTCATATGTAAATCCTTACAAGAACCCATCCAAGGTACTTACTATTATCACAGATGAGAAAAGAGGCCCAGGCACGAAATAATTTGCCCAAGGTCACAAAGCTCTAAGAACTAGCACACAAACACAGGCAGTCTGGTTCCTCATGGTCCAAATATATTTACCTATCTGTATCTCTATATGACATCTCTACATTCACATATCTTAGGCTATTCAGACTGCTATAACAGAATATTTTAGACTACGTGGCTTACGAGCAATAGAAATTTATTTCTCAACAGTTCTAGAGACTGGGAAGTCCAAGATCAAGACACTGGCAGATTCCATGTTTGGGGAGGGCCCACTTCCAGGTTTCATAGACAACCATCTTCTCTCTGTATCTTTACATCATGGAAGGGGTCAGGGGTCTCTTTTACAAGGGCACGAATTCCATTCATTATCTTATGATCTAATCACCTCCCAAGGGCCCCACCTCCTAAAACCATCGTCATGGGAGTTAGGATTTCTACACAGAATTCTGGGGGAACACAAGCATTCAGACAATGGCATTCTCTTCATATGGCAACACACTGTAATATTCTTCCGGACCACATGCTCTCCTCAAAGAAAAATGTAGGATTATATATAATTCTCTTACTTTCATTTTTTTCAGGTTCTACATTCCTTGGTTCTGAATCATGAGTCACATCCACTTCTCCTTTCATTAATATAGTAACATAATGGTATTTCTCCTTCTCAATGAAAGAATTCACAACTGAGGCAAAGCGAACATTTTTCAGGTGAAGAGCTGCTTCTTCCCAGGTTTCCCTTTGAGCACATTCTTCCCAGGTCTCACTGGAAAACAGAAAAAAAAATTAATTATATTTTTTATATATACATATATGTGTATATATGTATATATATAAATGTATATACGTGTGTGTATATATATTTCGCCATGAAATTCTTGGCTAGAAATTTCTAGTGTAAAGCAAAAAGAACTGTAATTGGTTCCTGCTTTAAAACAACAAATCAGCCGGCATGTGGCTCATGTCTGTAATCTTTTGGGAGACCGAGGCAAGAGGACAGCTTGAGTTCAGGAGTTTGAGACCAGTCGAGGCCAACACAGTGAGACCTCATCTCTCAAAAAAAAAAAAAAAAATAGCCGGGCATGGTGGTGCGTGCCTATGGTCTGTGGTCCCAGCTACTCAAGAGGCTGACTCAAGAGGATAGTTTGAGCCTGGGAAGTCAAGGCTGCAGTGAGCCATGATGGTGCCATTGCACTCCAGCTGTAAATTAGTGCTGAGATGGCTAAATGTTAATTGTGTGTGTGTGTGTGTGTGTGTTTTGGGGGCTTTTTTTTTTTTTAACTATTTTACAGGCAATCTCAGACATCCTATTATACCATCCCTAAATAGTTCAGTATGTACCTCGAATAGACTTTTTAAAAAAACATAACCACAAACATTTTCATACCTAACAAAATAATTAAGTATCATCTGATACCGAGTGTGTGTAGCAATTTCCTCAGTGATCTTAAAAATGTCCAGTTCACGGGGGTGTGTGTGTGTGTTTTGGGCGGCGGAGGGAAGGGTAGTCAAGATGAAAAAAGAAAATGCTCTGTGATGGGTACAAAAGGATTCACTATTTTCTCCACTTTGATGTACATTTGAAAATTTATACTGAAGGAAAAACAAGTGCTGGGTCTGATGCTTTAGATGCTGTTTATCTGTTCTTGATTAGCATTATTCTCACTTCAGAATCCACTTTTTAGCACCATCCCAGGCTTTTTTTTTTTACTTGAAAAACATTATTTTTTTTACAAAAGTGTTTCGTATACACTTTTGTACATAAAAATGTACATGTTAAATATATATACAATTTGATGAGTCTGGACATATGCGCACACCTATGATAGTATACTCAAGGTGATAAACTATCCGGGCTCTCTTCACTCTTGTATAGAACTGAGTCTCCTTAGCTGTCCAACTCCTTTGATAGTTATAATCGAATCGCGGAACTGCCAAGGCAGAAGGAAGCTTCAAGGGGATTTAGTCCAACACTCCCATTTTAAAGATGAAGAAACTGAGGCTCACAGCATTTCATTAGCCCATTTGCTTGGTTAGAGTGCAAATAAAATTTTACATATAATCATCTCAACAGATGCAGGAAAAAAATGACAAAATCCAATACTCATTCATGATTATTTATTTTTTGGTTGCACTCTAGCCAAGCAAATGGGCTTGGTTACGCGGTCAGTAGGTATTAAATTGATCTGTGTTGGTCTAAATCACATAGAAACCGGCCGGACGCGGTGGCTCACGCCTGTAATCCCAGCACATTGGGAGGCTGAGGTGGGTGGATCACCTGAGGTCAGGAGTTCGAGACCAGCCTGGCCAACAAGGAGAAACCCTGTCTCTACTAAAAACACAAAAATTAGTACGGCGTGGTAGCGGGCGCCTGTAATCCCAGCTACTCATGAGGCTGAGACACGAAAATCGCTTGAACCTGGGTAGCGGAGGTTGCAGTGACTCGAGATAACGCCACTGCTCTCCGGCCTGGGCTACAGAGCGAGACAGTCTCTCCAATCAATCAATCAATCACACGGAAACGGTGCAATGTCTTAGCTGACAACATCGGGCTGCTGGAGGTTTACACACACCTGCTTTCCTCCTTTTGTGTGTAAACTGTGAGAAACACACCTCACAGACAAAATCCCAACCACCACCTAGCGGGCGCGCAGCCGGAAGGACCCAGCTAGCCAAGCACCACCTAGCCGGCGCGCAGCCGGAAGGACTCAGCTAGCCAAGCAATGACCTCGCCTGACCCGGCACAGCGCCCCATCCTGGGCGGGAGCCTACGTCGCCCAGAGGTCGAGGGGAAGAACCGAGGGAACGCACGAGAAACGACGCAGCGTCAGCGCGGACGTTCTCACGCACGGCGCACGAAGGAAGCACAGTGTGAGCTCGTCCCTCCGCGCACGCTGCGCTTTCGTCGCGTCCGCGGCTGCTCACCCGAACTCCAAATGACCTCCAGGGAGCTGGAAACTGCCGGCTCCAACCGAGCCTTTCCTCTTCCCCAGGAGGATGCAACGCGGATGTTTGCAGCTGGTCACCACGACTCCGACTCCGACTCCAGGCCGCCGCCCCCGTGGCTCTGCACTGTCGGTCATAGCGCGTGGGAGGACGCGCCTGGCAGCGGCAGGAAGTGACGCGCTCACCGCCCAGTCCCGCGGCCTCAGCCAATCTCTCCCCGCGCGGGCGCAGGCGCCGAAATCAAAGCGAGAGCGCCTCGGCGTCTCCAGCTGTCCGTTGTGCGTAATGCGTCGCGGAGGGCTATCAGCTTGCGGAATATCGTGTTTCCTTCCGAAGGGCAGCGTGCTTTAAGAGTTTCGTTCTAACTAAAGTTGCTTGCTTTGTGCTTTGAGTATTCATCACCCATGAGCCTATCCACTCCCAGATTTATCCAAACCGTGTATTTGCACGTACAAGCCGCCTGCTCTTACAAACGTCGGCACCACTGCACATTCTCTTTTCCCTTGAATGACCTCGCCCACCATGGTGCACCCATTTGCACTATAGGTCAAATCAGCGTGGTACCATGACAAGGATAGGTAGTTTAGAAACATCCCATTATAAACAACTATGCTTAAAGTATATTCATAAGTCATGGGAGGAAGTAAAGACTAATTGATAAATCATGGTAGTACAAGTTAGTTACAAAACAGTAGAAAACAGACGTTTTCAGATGTCTGCACACCATGTACCTTGCAAAACACAAACCAGCTGAATCATAAAACAAATGACTAATCACTGGGAGGATTTTCTCTTTCTCTCTCATTATTTTTACTTCTACCAAAGTAATGTGCACATACTGGTAATTTTATTTTTATTTGTTTTTTAAATTTTCACCAAGCTAGCTAATTTTGTTTTTGTAGAGGTGGGCTGTTGCTCTTTTGCCGAGGCTGATCTCCAACTCTCGTCGTCAAGCAATCCTCTCACTTGGGCCTCCCAAAGTGCTGGGATAACAGGCGTGAACCACTGCGCCTGACCTATAGCTATGATTTTAAGAAGTAAACTGATCCAAAAACCGCAACAAGAACAACCTGACCCTCTACTCCTACTTCCAGAATCAATCGCTTTTAACTCTTTGAACTGTATTTCTGAAATTTGCCTACGTATTTCTAAGTAATACGCTTACTCTCCATGTTATAGTAAATGGATAAGCTTTTTACAGCATCTCTCCTTACTATCAACATTCACATTCATTACAAGATAATCTACAATATCTTCTCAAATAAAAAATGGTAGTATATAAAAAGGGTAATATATTAAACAATGGGATTAACCCCAGAAATACTAGGTTGGCTTAATATTTGAAAATCCAATGTAATTTAGCATATTAACAGAGGGAGAAAGGAAATACATATAATCATCTCAACAGATGCAGAAAAAATTTAACAAAATCCAGGCCTGGCGCGGTGGCTCACACCTGTAATCCCAGCACTTTGGGAGGCTGAGGCGGGTGGATCACAAGGTCAGGAATTCAAGACCAGCCTGGCTAAGATAGTGAAACCCTGTCTCTACAAAAAATACCAAAAAAAATTAGTCTGGAATGGTGGTGGGCGCCTGTAATTCCAGCTACTCGGGAGACTGAGGCAGAGAATTGCTTGAACCCGGGAGGCAGAGGTTGCAGTGAGCGGAGATCACGGCACTGCACTCCAGCCTGGGCAACAAGAGCGAAACTCCGTCTCAAAAAAAAAAAAAAAAAAAAAAAAAGAGCGAAACTCCGTCTCAAAAAAAAAAAAAAAAAATTAACAAAATCCTATACTAATTTGTGATTTAAAAAACCCACAAAACCTCTGAGCAAACTAGAAATAAAATGAAACTTTAACAACATGATATACGGCATCTACAAAGACCTACAGCTAACATCGTATTTAATGACTGTTTTGAGCTGAATTGTGTCCCGTCAAGATTCCTATGTTGAAGTCCTATCCTCCAGTACCTTAGCATTTGGAGACAGGATCAAGTTAAAATGAAGCCATTAGTGTAGGTCCTATTCTAATGTGTCCTCACAAGAAGTGGAGATTAGAACCCAGACTATGTTCTATGGGAAGACTGCGTGATGACACAGGGAGAAGGCAGCTGTCTGCAAGCCAAGGAGAGCAGCCTCAGAAGAAACCAACTCTGCTAACACCTTGATCTTAGAATTCTAGCCTCCAGAATTGTGAGAAAATTAGTTTCTGTTATTTAAGCCACACAATCTTTGACACTTCGTTATGGCAGCCATAGCACTAGCCTAGCCTTAGTCTCGGTGAAAGACTTAAGATTTGGGAGAAGCTAGGGTATCCACTCTGAGTACGTTTAGTTATCATGTTGCAGGAGATTCTAGTTAGCACAATTAATAAAATTTTAAAATCAATAAAAGGTAGTTAAATTGGAAAGGAATAAGTAACCGTCTTTTTTTAAAAAAACAATCCTGAGGAATTAATTAAAAAGCCATTAGAACAAATAAGCAAGTTTAGCAAGGTCATAGGATTCAAGGTCAATATACACAATTGATTATATTTCTATATATTAGCAATGAACCATCGAACAGTAAATTGTTAAAACAAGACCATTTATAATACCATAAAAAACATACTTAGAAATATAGTTAGCAAAAGATGTGGAACACTTCTACACTGAAAACTATAAAACTGAACCAATGGCCGGGTGTGGTGGCTCACACCTGTAATCCCAGCACTTTTGGAGACCTCAGGTGGATCCCCTGAGGTCAGAAGTTCAAGACCAGCCTGGTCAACATGGTGAAACCCCGTCTCTTCATGGTAGTACAAGTTAGTTACAAAACAGTAGAAAACAGACGTTTTCAGTTGTCTGCACACCATGTACCTTGCAAAACACAAACCAGCTGAATCATAAAAACAA